ATGGCAGGGGGTCGGACTAGATGATCCGCTCAGGTCCCTTCCGACCCTAGAAACTATGAAACTATGAAACCCCTAAGGGACGAGGAGATCAGGTGTCTTACATGTTTGCTTTGTTGCTCACTGTGTTGGGCAAACTGCTTTTTATGGAGGGAAGAACTCTCAGTGGTAGGGTGGAAGGTGAGCATTTAACCTCCACGTGTGTATTGGAGAATCAGACTCTGCCAGTGGCTTCGAATAGTCTGTACTGCCCTGAGTAGCGACCACCAAGACAGTGCTGCTGACCTCTCTCTCCGACTCTGCATGCACAACTACAGGCTTCAGAGTAAGGAGAAGGAAATGGAGTATGGTGTCACTGGAAAGTCCAGCTGTTCCCATTTCCAAGACCCAGTCCACTCCATGCACCGTAGTTTATATGAAGACAAAGAGCCTGTTTTTCTCTTATGTAGAAAGTTAGAGAGAACTTACTACTTGTTAAAACCTGTTTTTTTACAGGTCACACTATTTACTCCAGGAACATTTGGGTTCTGGTAACTTTTTTTCTGTTAAAATCTACATGCTTTATGTAAATGCAGCAGATGTACTTTGATTATTTCTGACTACAATGACCCATGTTCACTGGAAGCAGAGCGGGAGGTTTTCCTCCTCAAGGGGCCAATGTGTGCTACTGGAGCCTGCTGGCTTACACCCAAGGTTATAGGGTTAGAACCAAGGTGTGGAGGATGGCTGAAACTGCTTGGCTAGGATTTGTGTTTCTTGTGACACCTTTGAAACCACTGAATCATGAAGAAGTAGAGCAGGAAGGGACCTCCAGACATCATCTAGTCCAGCCCCCTGCCTGAGGCAGGATCAGCCCTGGCCAAACCATCCCTTACAAAACCATAATCTAAACTCTACATACAACTACCTTCAACCCTGACACAACACTAGCACTCTAACTTGCCACAGGTCAAGCAGGGGAACCACAGCAGCCAATGTCCTGCTTCTATGAAATGTCAATATACACTTAGGAGAGCCCGGGTAAGCGGCCATGCCACCTTGCCAGAGAGGAAGACAAAAACTTCCACAGTCCATACCAATCTGACCATGGGATAAAATTCCTTCTTGACCCCAAAGTTGGCAATCTGTTTGATCCTAAATGGAGGGGCAAGACCCTCAAGCCAGGCACCTCTGGCTTTGATCCCAGCAGAAGCATTGGCACACCCCAGTCAAAGGCCCTAGCCTTGGCCGTAGTCAACACCCAATACCTCTGGAAAGGCTTAAAAACACCCTGATGCATGTAGCAAGAAAGGGGAGAGGAGGGGAGGGATGTGGCAACAGGCAAAGCCCAGCAACATGGGAAACACCCATAGTAGAATATTGGCATGGCTACACCTAGATCATCCCTGATCAGTGACTGACCAACCTCCTCTCGAACATCTCCAGTGATGGAGAGTCCATAATGGCCCTAGGCAGTCTGTTTCACAGCCTCACTGTTCTAACTGTGAAGAAGTTTTTCTGGATAACCGTACTAAACTGATCTGATTTCCTACTGGCAAAGCACAGGTCCATACTGCCTAGAACCAGAAGCTTGCATGAATGACATATTTTGCCTAGCTGCAGTTGAGCACAATTTTGATGGCCTTTTATATTTTTTTCCTAATTCCCATTTTCCTAGCCCTTCTTTTAACAGCACAGAAGCAGACCGAGCTCAGCCAAAGAGTAGAAGAATGGAATGACTACTTTGGGCTTTGAAGAGAATTGGTGTTGGAATAATTGTCACCCAGATCAGTCAGCCTCCCCAGAGCCCCGAGGCTGCTGCCTCTCTCTCTCTCGTATCATTGCAATTCATTTCTGATGCTACTCTTTAGGACCCAGAGGGTGCATCTACACAAAACATTCGCTGCAGTTGCCTAATTAGCTCTGCAGTAAACATCTACCTGTGTAGTCCTATTAGGAAAGAGTAAACTAATTAACTCTGCTGGTAATCCAACTATCCTACAGCATTTTTTTTTACTTTGTAGCAATGCACATGTAGATGCTGATGAAGCTGGCCGGGACACCAGGATGCTACAGTGTGGAGACTGCCAGCCGGCTAGCCCTGCACTGGAGCACCCTTGTGCCCCAGCCAGACTGTCCACAGACCACTGAGCCGGGTTGGCAGGCTGGGCAGGCAGGCAGGCTAGCCCCCCAGGTTCCCTGCTGGTCAGGGCTGCTCTGACCCAGCTCAGTGTGCTGCAGTCTTGGGTGTATGCGCAAACACAGCACCTGAGTGTAATAAACTCTGGTGCAATATGTGCCACAATTTATTGCTGCTCATTAATAATATGTGTAGACATGCCCAGAGGATTATAGGGAAAACAACCCCCAGAAGTCAATTATTTTCCCTGACTTGCTTTTCACCAGCCATAATGAATGGCTTTTCTGTCCCAAGATTCAGTCTGATCATGTTTCCATTCCTCCCGCCAGCCTATTGCCATCTGAAACCCTGCTGATCAATGCTGTGACACCTAGGAGTGCCATAAAGCCTGGAAATGCTGAAGAGGCATTTAGGTACCTGAGTCAAATGTCTAGGTGCTATTGGCACT